GGCCAAAAATAAAGAATATTATAAAATTTTATTTCTTCAGTTCCTAATTAAAGAGAGTAGAATTATTATTTCTAGATAAATTCTTTGTCGTTATACTGTTAAAAGAATAAGAAACATGAAAATGTACTTATATAGTTTCATCAAAATCGACGCAATAAAAAACAAAGCACAGAGAGTCCGATAGAATCTTCAATTTTAGTTGATGGTGATCGATACATTTACTTTTGACTTTCTATTCTTCCTTTCCAACCATTTTCTGTACAAATACTAAGGTAATCGAAAGCCATTTAGAAAGCATCATGGGTTTTAAAGAAAGGAAGGGGGAAAAAAAAAGAAAATACAAAACCGGTGATTTTGCATACAATGATTAGCGTATCAACCAAGTGTCCGGTCAATGATTTCGTCTGTATAGTACAAAAGTAATCGGAAATGCAGTTACGGTAGATATATAGAAATTTCTATCAAACGCGCGACACGCTTCATGTTTCATCGTGGTACTTCCTCCATGTCGTTTCCCGCGATTTTTTAACAAGCATTTGTTACCAATCACTTTCTAACTCATTGACGTATCCGAACATTATCTCGACGAACCATGACAGAACTGTAAAAGCTAATGCTCACTCGTGTTTCTCATCCGACGTGGAATGAGTGTATACGCGAATTCGAAACCATAATCAGACAATGATTCTTTAAATACGGGCCCCGCAGTCAAACTTGCCACCATTGTTGTTGTTCCCTCCTGACGAAAAGAATTTGGCAATTTGGACGAAAAGTCGACGACCTTTTTAATGTTTTATCATTAATGAAAAGTTATCAAACATTTCGCAATATTCATTCATGAGTTATTTAAAGTTTTAAACTTGCATTTTTTAATCGTTTGATTATTAAGAAATAAAAATTGTTTCTTTTTGAAAATTTTAGGACGAAGGCTGTTTAGAATTTTTTGGATCTAAGATATTTCTTTATTGGTACAAAAATTAATATTGATTAGTTTTTAATTGGATCGTAATTTTTTAATAATTCTTTTAAATAATTATCGCGAAATTGAAAGAAAGAAACATTTCCATTTTCACGTCTAGTTGATTTTTATTTTTAGGATAAAAAAGTTATTAGCTAGATCAAGGTTTTTGTATATCAAGAATCTTAAAATTTTTCATGTATATTACATCGTTTTTCAAAACAATATATAATAATATTTATATACTCGTCCGTTTCCCATTTCGACCAAATTCAAGTTTAAACGAATATACATCGATAATTCTCGGAAAATTATTTGTTGAATGTTAAATGCTTGCAAAGGAAAAGATTTTAAAAACAAACAAATCGAATATATGAAAGAAATAATAATTATATTTCTCACGAACTTGACTTGATTATCTTTACTAAATAAGTACGAATTGAAATGGAGAATGATCTAAACATACTTAATAATCTTTATTATTATTATTATTAAATCATGGATTTTTATGACTGTAATAAATATTCTAATTCGGATATTTTATATCTCTATCCACATTTTATCTATTGTGTGCATTTTTTCACTTTCAATTTTTTTTATAGACACATAAAAATCCATAGTCTGGTTATTACTGAAGTTGTTATACATTTTTCGCAATATATCATTTTTAATACCGCGATTTACATTGCTCTATTTATTTAAATAGATGAATTAAAGACAATTTCAATAAACGTTAATAATTTCAATAAATCTTTGAGTAAGGTAAACAAATATATATATATAATATATATATAATATATGAGTTTACCTTACTCAAAGATTTATTGAAATTGTAATATATATATATATATATAATTTGATCAAATAGCAACGTTTATTACCCTCGTGGAGGATAAAGTTTCAAATTTTTCAGACGATAGAAAAGGTAACTACATATTATTATATACGTATATATATATATATATATGTGTGTGTATATCGAACTATAAACAATAGGAAAGCTATCCGTTTTATAACGTAATATTTATTGCAATACAAAGTCAATTTCAAATTCTAAATTGAAAATAGACGTACAATAGCGATAGTGAAATTTATCGTAAATGTAGGATGCAGAAGGAATCTGTTGATTCGTTATTAAGAAATGCGAGCCAAATCCAGTTGCGAGCATTTGCACATGGAACTTACGTTAATAAGAGGTATGAAGCAAATGGGATATGCATGCATAAGGCGGTGATGTCTTGCGCAGGCTGGTTCAGA